CGTGTTCGCGCAGAACGTATGGTATAGGTATCACGTCATTGTGAACGGTGCTTTATTTAGGTCGAGTGTCAACAACGAAGCGTGCAAGTACGCTTTGTGGACTCCTCAACAAATAGCACCCGTAAGTACAAAAGCGTTCCAACGTACAACAAAGAAGGGGAGAGATCGGTGATACAGGACAGATGATAGATCGATCGAGCGCCATTGGAATTCTATCCTCGACGATCCACACCGACCCTCCTTCCTTCTTCACCTACGATTACACGGCGAAATTAATTCGAGAACGGTTCAACTGTCAGCTATTTCACTCGGTTCTTAATCCTCGTGCTTCGCTTTAAAGTCATTTCTAATTGTTGTTGGACACTCAGTTGCATGATTGCTGACAGAAGAGTCTTTAAACAAGAAATTAGAGTAAATCTACCCACTTTATCTGTAATTTTCTTTTTGCCCTTCTTCCTCTCTTTTTGCAGGATTCTAGCGTATTCTCGATAACGGAGAACAATTAAGAAATTCGAAGTTGGTGACTGGAATAACTGAAACCTTGTAGAAACTTTGTAAATTAAACCCGATTTGATTATCTTCGTTTATGCAAATTTTATTCTTTTCGTATTTTTATTGTGCCCTTTAATTCAGAAATTTCATTTCATTTCATTAGTATTGTGCTTATTTGAAATTCAAATAATCCGTCCATTTTCTTACGAAAGTTTAGTATAACGTTAGTTGGAATCGCCTTGTTTACTAGGCGGGAAAAAATTTTTCACGAAGAGAAAATACTCGAATACATTTTTTTCCCCACTCGCGAGTTATGTGAAATCGAAACATTCCCCCGAACACATTGAAAATTTACATGGTAAGTCGGAACCGTTCCCGAAAATCCGATCGTGACCCCTCCCGAAAGGAACGGCTCCATATTTCGTTCGTGCCAATATTGGCTAGAGCGCCGCTGTATTATAGCAGATTATTCAGTGTCACGGGGAAGATTAATGTCCCGCCAAGATTTGTATCACCGTTGGCCAAACAAAAGGTACTCGTGCTCGCTAAAATTCATCCGTCGAAATCTTTCAATATACCAAACTCCCGCGAAACAATACCTTTATTCCAACACATTACCCAACCGTTCAACTAAGCCCCTCATTCTCCATCTATTCCTGTTAAATAATTCTTCGTTTCCCTATTTCACTCAGGAAAATCATATTTTAAAATACCATCGAATAAACGTGACATACTTTTCTCTTTCAAATTTCAATCTTCTTAATTCTCATTCTTTTCTCCTCTCTGTCGTTCTCTTCGATCAGACGCGATAAAAACGTGGTTACCGTTATTTCCACGAAATATTAATTGAAACGCGACTCGTTCAATTTGCAATGCATCGAAAGGACAAGCAGTAAAACGAATAAAATTAATTTCCAACCTAATAAACTTCAATTAACCGCGGAGGCGGTCGTTGCCAAAAATCCTTTGACACCGGAAACTAGAGGGTACCAATAAGTTCGCCAGCAGTCTCTGCTTTCTAACGAGTTAAGGGACAGATCAGAGGGGTCTGACGTCCCGTTTATACGTACAGTTCGCTCCGCTAAAAGCACTCGGGGCCACTAATTAGAATCTGAAGGGGATGGGTACACCTTTCGTGGAAGCACGAGGCTGAAACCCCCCGGTATTGGAGGGCCAATACGTGATTTCAGTCCTCGCGGCCGGCGTCGTCCAGCCAGTTCGGCTTTCATCTGCGGTTAACCTACGTTAAAGCGTTTCGCGTATATTCCTGATATCGATCGTGCCACAGGCGGCGCTTCTGGACGCGGCTTTTGCCATTGCTAACGGGCACCGATGACCGATCATCTCGATGGACGTGGAAGGTCCGTGTAGAAATGTAAAGGAGGGGAATCAAGAGAGCCAAGAGTGAGAATCGGCGAGAAATAGTGTGAGAAACGGGAGAGAGAGAGAGAGAAAAACCTTTATCTATAATTCTCTTCTTTTTATTTTTTGCTCTTTTTTTCTAATTTTTCTTTTTTTAGGCTCCGAGATTATTCTCGATAATGAAGAATAATTGAGAAATTCGAAGCTGGTGACTGGAATAATTGTACACGGTCGAAAGGATTTCTAGATGGGGTTCGCTGATGTTTCTGGGGATTGGGCTGAATATCAGAGATATTGGAGTGTGATATTTGCTTAAGTGGTTATTGGTTACTGCATATACCGCGATGAAATGTGAGGTGAATTGATGTTGGCTCGAACAAGTGATTATTTATAGTAGACTGTGTTGTAATATTAAAAATTAATAGTCTGTAGTATATTATAATGTACTGTAATATGGGCCGTTCAGTGCACAAATCGATTAACTCCATAAAATGAGAAGTCGAGAAATTATTATAAATATAAAAAGTTATGACTATACCAAGTGCTTTGACACTTAAATTTAAGATTTTTCAAAAAGTGGAGTTAATCGATTTGTGCACTGAACGGCTGATATATAAAATTGAACCAGTGCAAGTGCTTTTTGTAGAAAATGATAATATATGTATATACCGTGAAAGGGAATAGAAGAAATTTGTCACGTATATTAATTTACGCTTATTTTACTGCGATAAAACGTGTAACAATTTTATTGTATTTTATTCAGTTTACTAGTTACACCGTATACTCGTTCTACAAAATATGTGAATTTAGATAAACGATTTTTAAACGATATCAGACTGTACACTATTATCGAAGAAGAATATATTTCAAATTTTCAAGCGTCCCATTTCGAAATACGAATAACTTCCCCCCCGTTTCAACGTGTGGAAATACTGGTTCGATTTCCCTTTGCAATACGAGAGCTTAAACGATGACAAAGCAAGATAGAGGAATGCACGAGTCTTCCGATAATAAAAACGGCGTGCAATGTCGAACAATGTTCGATTCAAAGGTGTTCCCTTAAACCACGATGAACGTGCTCGGCTTTTGCTAGAACCCCGATAAACGATCTGCTCGTGAGGATGTCGAGCAAAAATTGAACATAGAGAAAATCTGCAGTTGAAGTGTAAAATCGAAGGGGAAAAGTGTCGAAAGTAAATCGAACGAAAAAACCCCCAAAATTTCGAAAATTAAGCATTACGCGCAATATTAAGTGTACAAATTAATTCAGTGTCTCTGTTCATAAAGTTTCGACAACTTTATCGACTCAGCGCCGCAAAATTTTTCTCGAAAAGGAAATTCGTGTGAAGTAATGTAGATGAATTTCCTTTTTGTAATTTTTATTAGGTGTACAAATTAGTTCGCTGCGTTCTTTCACAAATTTCAATTTTTTCTAAGTAAACATCGAAGTTTGTGAAAGAACGCACCGAAATAATTTGTCCACCGAATAAAAATTAAAACTACACATAATTCAACCTGGAAACAAGCTCCGATCTTCGTTGCAACCGAAACTCGAGGTATCCTTTGTCTCGGAGAATAACTCACGCATCCTAGTGAAGGGTTCATTTGAGAAAGAGGAAATTACAAAGTCACGTAGTAGAGGTGGGCGACATGTTTGAAGAACGATGCCAGGATTCTCTCCTCAGGATAGCCTCTCTGGAGAATCGAGAGGACCTATGTTTCATATAGAACAGACAAACTGTTCAAGAACACCGGCATAAAGCACAGGCTGCTGTGATAAAAACAATTTCCAACGACATCGACGTTACGTTACCTATCATACGTCCACCTCTCTCTCTGTCGCGAGGAACATGCAAGTAAGCAAAGAACAAAGAGGTATAGAGGGAAAAGTATTCAAAAGAGAAAATCGACGGATACGAAGGGGTCCCGGTGAAGAAAGCAGGCCGAAAGGTTACCGCCAGGGACATAACTGTCATCTCTGGTATCATCTGCTGCACAAAGCCGTAAAGTACGGTGCCCGGTTATTTCGGTCAATCCTCGAAGAGGAGGCCGTCCGGAAAATATTCACATCGATCTATACCGAGTGACCTCTCTCTCTCTTCAGCTTCCTATCTTTCATCGTATAACGGGGTATACGTTTGCACATGTACACGCATTGCCTTTTTACACAACCATACACCAGATTCGTTCACCCTGGCCAAAACTCTTTTTTCCCCTCCGCTACTCCCGGTTGAATCTCTCTTCTCCTCACCCTTTTTCCTTCCTAACCTCTCTACCATCTCGCGCCATTCATCCATCCCCCTTTTTCCTTCCTCGATCCTTCTCTCTCTCTCTCTTTCTATTCTCCAACTCTCTGATGTTTCTTTCCTCGTCGCGCTTCCTCCGTCGACCACTCGCTTGCTTCCACCGCACACTCTTCTTTCCGTGTCTCTTTTTCACTTTGACAGTACACACGATAGCGGATACTCTCTATATGAGCCGGCTCAAAGTGCTCTTTCGAAGCAAGCACAAGAGGGCCAGGTCAACCGCGTCGCGCCTCTCTTCGCGAAAAGGACACAGAAAACGGATCGGCGAACCGAATCGACTATAAATACCGGCGTGTTCGCGTGGCTGGCATTTTTCGACATGATAAACAGACCGCCCGTAACTGAACACGATGGTTCGGGCGTCGATAGAGAAGGAGGTGAAGGGCTATTATTAAAAAAAGGGGTGGAAAAGTTCGTAAGATCAACAGTGAAATAATTCGCGCGTGTAGCCGAGTTTGCACCACTCTGGATGAACGGTCGTTTCAGAAAATATCCTTCCGTTTCAATCGATCGATGATGGTTTCTTTCTTTCTTTCTCTTTTTTTTCAGAGAAAAATTTCTACCCTTTAGCCAAGCTCGATTCATTTCGTGACAAAGTCTAAAGTTGGTAGTTTTTTGTGCTCTTCGTTCCCTGGTGTTTGAAATTCGTGTATTTTAGATTTGAAGGAAAATTTCATTTTGTAATGTAGAAC